TTCAACACCAAATTTGTTTTTATAATAAAGGGGTATCAATAGTTTTGAGGTGTCGAGGTGGGGCATGCAGCAAAAAGGCTAATAACCACTGGACTACACGGAAGGCAGCTAGTCAATACCACCCACCGACAATTCTTTTACCAACGAATAGTGGGATTGATCGTTACATTATAACGCCCACACGGCAGAAAGGACGAGCATGTTCGGTGACGGGGATTCGATCCCGTGACCCGTCGAGAGCCTTAACCACCAGGCGTCCTGCCATAAGTGGTCGAAAGGTGTAAATAATGTTTCCAACGAGACTTCGCCCCATCCCGCTATTTATACATTAATTATTTAATAAAGAGATATAATAGTATTTTATGCGCTACAAAACTGCTACTTGTTACAGTGAATCTACCTAATTTTAAATAATAATTAGGATTATATGACATTAAATCCAAAGATTATAAGTAACAAAATAAAATAAAAAGTCTATAAAATATTCGAGAATTTTATTCGCTCTTGCATTATTGAAATTCTTATTCCGTGTTTGTTGCTAAGCCTAAAGCTACACAATGAGTTATCCATGCTGTGCCCACCACGGATATTGACACCCAGTTTTTATCGTTGTTAGCCTTCAAATTTACTGCTGAGCCACTAGACGCTCTAAACCTCGACTGTTCAGATTTCTAAATTCTTGAATGTGAAACACGTTAAAGAGAATCTATCGGTTAAAAATGGCTGATATCAATTGTGAATAACAAATGTGTAAATACACCTAAGGGATCCCACTAGTCATATTTTCCAATTGAAACAACAACAACAACAAAGACATTTATGGCCACTTTGTTTCTTCCACTAAGCTTGTTTTCTATCCAAATATAAATTACATATCATCTTAATTCTTATCTTGATATATTGTATGTTATCTTATGAAAATCAAGATAACAAAACTCTAGCGGAAGTTCCCAACTTTAACAAAGTAGATAAAACAACTCTAATAAAGTGGTTAAAACACGAAAAACGTTTTTCAAACCATTCTCGGTTGTTTATTAAATGCCAATTTTCTTGATACTAACGGTAGATTTAAACATTTTTACTAATAAGAAAATTTAAACTATTAAGTTTACAAACTTCCACCTCCCTCATCCCAACACACTCAAGTTATCTAGATTTTTTTTACTACCCATTTCAAGGATTTGTTTTGGTTTTTATAGGTAATAATTAAATCTGGCCCCATTCCCATTTCACTAAGCTTTTTTAACGTCTTAATAAGATTAACTTACAACAGCAGTAGTATTTGAAGGAAGTTTATGCCTACTTTTATAGATTTCCTCCTTTTTCATCCATATAAATACAACTTAAGAAGTTATAGAGTAATTGAGGAACGTATGTTCCTTCCCACTGGAATACTTTAAAAAGGTTAAACTACCCATGGCTATCTTCATGCAGTCAAGTTTGGTTCTTTGAGCATCTTCTTAGTTACTGATTGTTTTAAGAACAGTTTTATTCATTTCTGTTTTGGTGAATTTGATAAAACTGAGCATTCACTATTGAATTTCATATTTTCTTAAGCGTGATATTTTTACTAGACTAATAAATTAACTCTCTTATCAATTTATTTGGTAATGAGTTTTAAGATGGAATGGAAAAAATTTTGGAAAGTTGCTGTTGATTTTTTTCAATCCCATCACCCAGACTGTGAACTTTTCCTTGTGGTATTCCTTTATCTGCTAC